ATTGGAGCAATGGTAGTTGGCTTACTTCTCTTGCCTTCTATTTTCCTGTTGATTAGTGGATTAATCAACTATTTACGCCCAGTCGCTGATCAGTCAGTCCAGGCGTTGCAACCAATTGTGAGTTTTGTCTTCCTGTATTGGCCCCAAATATTATAAGGGAGATAAAAACAGATGTTTATTTGTGACTTGTTTTATTCTAAAGTATTTGGAGTTCAATACTTTTTGTTACTTTATATATATGTAGATGCTTATAGACGTAGCTCAAGATGTGGATGTTGATGAAGATAGAGATATGGATATAGATATAGATAGAGATGTAGATGCATGTGCACATTTCTTTTATATGTGTTTATTATTTATATTTCTTTACAGGTCCCTGGTGTAAACTTACCTATTAAAGAGTTACCTTATTATTTTGCAACTTTACTAGTTGCATCAATCATTCATGAAGCAGGACATGCTATTGCAGCTGTAAAGTAAGTGAGGTTTTTGTTTATTTTGGTTGATCTTGAATAATTCTCACCAGAAAGGTTCATTTAATGCCATTTAAGTCTACATGGGGCTCTAGTTATCAAATAAAGATTTAATCTCCTTTAACCAGTCATAGTACTGCTTATCCTGCCATTACTACTACTACTGATTCTGCTTTCAGTTCTTAAATATGTGATAACTAATGTATGTTTTTAGTAGATTTGTTGAAAAGTGTATCAGAATTGTAAAGTTATAGGTATCATAATTTTTTAGTACATATTACAAGTTTATGTGATTTATTAATGATTTTAGAATCTATATTGAAATATTTCCAGGATAGCTTATCACATATCTATAAATTTCTTTTTTCCTCATGGCAGGGAAGATGTCCATGTGAACGGCTTTGGGTTTGTCCTTATGTTCATCCTTCCAGGAGCATTTGTTGATGTTCCAACAGAAGAAATTCGCACTCTTACCCCTTTCAGACAGCTAAAGGTATGTCACTGTTGATTCTCTAAGTCACAAATAGAGTGACATTAACAAAAAGTCATATAGTGATACTTACACTTGGCTTGACAAAATTATCAACTTGTTCCAGATCCTGTGCGCTGGTGTGTGGCATAACATTGTTCTCGTTCTGCTTGCTGTGGCACTGGGTCTCTCCGTCCCCTACATTCTACAACCCCTGTACATTCATGGTCGTGGAATGACTGTTTTGTCATTGACACAAGTAAGATGAAGTGGTGTTTTTATGATAATGAGATGTGTGGCTTATAATAGATATATATAAATGTAATTTTAGGTGATTATTTGAACTATGGCTACGGAATATGACAATGTGATATATGTATGAATGTCTCCAACTATTGTTTGTTGTGGTTAGGCATGAGGTAAATATAGATAACAATACATATATATATATTTTTTTATAAAACTGATTATAGTAAGGCAGGTACCCAGTAACACATAAAAGAGAAACTCTCTTCATTAAACTGCACCACACCAAGCAGGTACTACTACATATCTTGCATACAAAGATACAAGAGTAAAGGACAGGGAGAAAAAAAATGGACATTTATCCCCCATCTTCCAAATATATCACACCCCAGTCCTCTTCCTTCAGGACTCCCCCGCCAGAGGTCCCACAGGACTATCCACAGGAGACGTGATCACTGCACTCAACAAGTGTCCTGTTAGAAGCATGGAGGACTGGAGGGAGTGTCTTGTGATGAGCATTAAGTCCGACCAAATGGGTTTTTGTGTCCCTGAGTCAGTGGTGCATACATATGACGAGACCATTCACCATGGTGAGTTCTAAGAGGTTGTTCTTTGGAGGTCTTAGGTGTTCTTGGTGTTCATATGTATTCTTTGGTATCTCTTATGGGAGCTGTTGGTTGAAGTCTGCAGTATTTTTTAGTGCCGTGTGGTGATCCATCCACTTCTCGCCTTTTATTCCAGAGGAGGTATTCTTTGTGTTCTTCTATGTTTGCTGGTGTTCTTTAGTGTTCTTAGGTGTTTTTCTGTTTACTCAAAGTGCTTAGATTCTTGAGGCTGCTCTTTGGTGTTATTCATTCCTTGCTCATTAGTGAGGTATTCTGTGGTCTTCCTCAGTGTCCTCTGGAGTTCCTTACATTCCAGGGGAGTTTTTGGATTTAGATTCCTAGGTAAGTTCTGTCATTCCTCAGTGTACATTGTCATTCCTTTCCATAGCCATTTCTAAGGACGATTGTTCTCTGGTGCTGCTTTTATATATTTATTTATTTTTTGTGTGTTTGTTTGAATGTTCTTAGTTTTCTTCAGTTTTCTTTAGTGTCTTGTTTTTTTTATGATCTTTGATTCGTCAACATTCTTTATCAGCAGTTATTTTAGTTTTACAGTTTTCATCAGAAGGGAAGGTTAAAAATTTAAAGATAAAGCCATCTGTAACATGAACCATAAAAGTTATAGCAAATGCTGTGCTGTTATGCATTGTTGATATTGTGATATATTCTCATGTTGATATTGGTACTTGTTATTTCTATTATGAAAT